AGGCTGATCAATATTTAGCAATTTCCTAAACTACAAATCTATATATACACCGGTACCATAGATTTGCAGTTACAAATCATTTGATTTGAGCAGCCACTGTAAGACAACAACCCCAGGGGACACATGACCTCACTTTCAGGTCAGACCTTAGTGCCCTGGGAGACTAGAGGTTGCCCATTGTGTGGGCGAGTGCTCCTGATGCCTATGACTGAGTCTTTGTTTGGCACTGACAATATCAGGGACCCTGTTTTTATATATTAAAGAGGGTATTTATACCTCTCCCCACTACAAATGCAACCTGTAGGGCTTTTGATGAACTGATGTCAACAAAGCCATCGACAGTCATTTGGGTCAGGAACAGATCACTGGTGAAAAGAAAGTTCTATGTTACAAATTCCCCCTTGCCTCCCACAACAGCATTGGAGGAACGAAGGCCACTGATAAAAATCAGGAAGGGACCCATTGAAAAGCCTCATCCTCTCTAAGGAAATAGAAGCACTAACGAAACCTCCAAAGCCACTCAGGCTGTTTGCCCTTGGATCCTCAGATCACTTGAATTATTTTTCTCTCTCTGATACTGTGCGGTACCTGTTGTAATGTACCTGCAGGAACGGGAAAGGAATGGATGTGTAGGGCCTATAGATATAATTTCCTGTTTTTCATGTTATTCGAGAAAGCATGATTCTCCTCAAATATTAATTTGATTGAAGGTCTAATATTTTTCTCAGATGGACATGTAATACATGTGTACACCGGATCACAAGTATGCACACACACCTACATGTAAAGGTCTGATAATAAATTTCTTGGAATAGGCAAAAAAATGCATGAAAAAAAAATGGAACATGGCACCAATCAAAATTATAAAGAGGTTCTGCCATTAAATTTGCAAAGTTTCCACAGCTCAAAGAAAAAATCTGCACTGATCACACAATGTTTTTCAGTAATTTGGGGGGTGAACTCCCATTTCTTTGCCGATGGCATACATTTGTGAAAAATTCTCAGTAACTGCATGAAAAAAACAAACAGTTTCTGGTCTTCCAGACCATATCGTCCCTATCAGGGCTCTGCACTACAAAACTGAAGGTCAAAATTGGTTGAATCTTAAAGGCTGTTCTGTCTTAACTTGAATTAAAATGGTATAATAATCATGATAATAGAGATAATAAGACAAACTGACAAACCTACGTGTAAAGTTAATGTACACTGTACATGTAGCTGCATCAAGCTTTAAAATACGGATGGAATTTTGCATTCAATTTGATAAATGTTTGGCAGAACTTTAATGTATTGTTTAAACATTTGCCGGGACTTTACAAAGACTGTCCCACCTACACGTACAGTGTACCGCTACCTTGGTATTAACATGTACATGTATACTCCATACGCGTACATGTATGCATTATCCGTGAGATGCATAAATACATGTACATGTGCAGTACTTGTACGCACAAGGAATAGACTCATTCAATGAGCAGATTTAATCATCGTCACTCACAGCTTGTCGACAAAATACATTGTACCTTCCACAAAGCAGAGGCGTCTTTACAGCCCTGTGACCTGATGCTCAACTTAAACAGATACTTTGAGATACCCAAGAGACAACAATAACAGCTGCACCGTACATGTATCAATCACTCCCTGAAATGGTCTTCCCCAATGAACTAGAGTAGATTTATTCACTTGGGTATTTACATGTATTTAGTTTTTAGACAGCTACACCTGATGCTGAAGAAATATGGGGAACTGATATAAAAAAGAACATACATGTAGATCTGGAAAAAAATTATAAAATGGGTTCTTTTTTTTTTTTTGGGAGAAGTATGTCAACGTATTTTTTAAACTTTTTTATTTAAATGTGTAAACATCATACGGTACCTTTGCTTTAAAATGATATTAAAAATATGAATTTGATGACTCTCATGATTATCAGGGGTGTGAGTGAGCACTTAAAATTAAAGCTGAAAACAACTAGCAAAAAGATGAAATGTAAAAAGTCTCCATACCTTTTTACAGACCAGGTGTACAAAAAAGCTGAAATTCAGGGTCAACATCTAAACACACACAAAAAGTTGAAATCTCACTCCCCTGTATTATTTCTGATCTGCAAAGTGATGATTAGCATAGAATCATGTCTGGTGGATGATGCATTTTGCTGGCAGAGGATGTCACACATATTGCCAACTTTGATTCTGATCACTGTGAGGCAGGACAGAACCTCCTCTGTTTATTAGGATATATTCCACAGACTCTGCAGACATTTTTAGTCCATGTACATGTATGTACAACCATACATGTACTGGTACATGTAGGCCTACTGATGTGCTAGACCTGTTCAGCACATAAACAGTACCTTATTTTGTGGGTTTTGCATTTTAACAGCAGTTAAACTGATTTAGAAATCATTCCTACTGGATAGGGCTTACAGTTTGAACCTTTCAGGTTAAACACATGTGAAAATTATTATTTACATGTACATGTAGATAATGGAAAAAAATTGTTTAGTTTAAAACACCTGGCATACAAATATACCGGGTATAGCATATTATTTTGTTTGATATTTAAGTGGTTGCAAGATACATACATGTATATATACATGTACATGTATATGTACAAACATCACTATGTTTCCCTAAAGTGGTGTAACCATTAGGAAGTACCGGTAACGTCATAAGATGTCAAATTTAGCAGGGAAAATATTGAAGTGTTTACTTACAAAATACTTAGAATTTTGTTATTTAGTCACACTGGGTTTATACACAAGGTGTCAAGTGATGTCTGTGTATGGAACTCTTTCCTAAAGTTAAAGTTGATGCAATGGTTGTTTGCTTGCTTTCCACCTCTGCGGCCTGGGTTCGAATCCCAGCTCAGTTCACATGTGGATTAGGTTTTCAGTCCCTACTAGTACCGTGTATGTACACTGTACAAGTACCGGTACCTAATTCCGTGGGTGTTACCCCCGGCACCTAGACTTTTTCTCTGGGGTTTTCCTCCCACCTCTAAGAGTATGTATGTAACTGCTTGGCATCGTCTCCTCTCCACAGGTTGCTGTGATGTTTCCCTTAGCCCAGGATGCTTTGCCAACTTCATGATACAGACAGACAGACAGACAGACAGACAGACAGACAGACAGACAGACAGACAGACAGACAGACAGACAGACAGACAGACAGACAGACAGACAGACAGACAGAATATGGTTTTGAGTCAACTTGGACCCATAACCAACTTGGACCCATAGCCCACTTGGATCCATTCTACACCAACTCAGACCCAACCAAAGGAGTGTTTTAAATTCTGTGTCATCAAAGGATGCTAAATGAACTCGTCACCTTTTATGAGTCAGTGCCATGCATCAGATTAAATCCCTTGGTGTTGGTACAGACAACACCATCAATGTGTGTGAATGATTACCAGATCCTATAGTTTTTTTAGAAACTCAGATATTAGACTGACATCTAAATCTTACCGGTACCAACAAAGGTCAGAAGTAAAGTACTGTTTTCTGATGCAGTATAGGCACAAAGTTTTATTTCCATTGGAATGGAAACATGCTTTACTATTGAAAATCTGAATAAATGAAAATTTAGTTTTTTGTGAGTGTAGGCCAAGAGTAATTATACCATTTCATGTGCATGTCTACGAATCTTGTTTCATCCTGTTTTCGAGAAATAAAAATGCTAAAGATAATATGCAATCATGTGAAAAATTTGAATGAACCTGAAAATGAAACGTTATTTTATTATGTTCATACTCTCCCAAAATGACAATTTTTCATGTATTGTGCATTCGGCAATAGCGGATGATGAAATCAAAATGACTCCCAGGAAAGGTACGGTATGAAATTCTTTAAGAGACAACATTAAACGTAAGATATAAAAAATCATGAATTTAGGAGATGAATTGAAATTAAACATCCAGGAATCGAGTTTGAAAAAGTATGAGGGAAATAAGAGGCTTACACATTTTAAAGCTTTCACTCACAGTTTCAATACCATGAAAAGTGATCCAAAATTCCTTAACAGTGGCAACCTCAATTTGACACAAACTTGGTGGACTGTTCACCACGTGCACGTTTCACCTGAGCAAATCTCAGAAAATCCCCAATTAAGGTGTCTTTAAAGTTATTAATTGATTATTATCACAATACACAACAATTTTTCAGTGGATACAGTACACCCCAAATTTTTAATAACGGGAATGATTAGAGTTTGATGGAAGTTTTAAACAATTATCTGGTACACTGCTTAAAAGAACTGCTAAGTACATGTAATGTAGGCGAAAATCATCTAAGTTGCAAAACAGAACATCTATAGAAGCAAGAATATTGGGGGATCCAAAAGCAGTCCCTGCTGTGTCCTTGCTCTGTGCGAACTCGGGAAAGCCTCACATTTATTATCCAAGCATTCTCACACAGTTGCTCAAATAGTCTAAGGCTCGCACGGTCCGAGTTGAATTAGGGTGGGTCTGAGTTGATGAGGGTTTGAGTTGGTCATTGGTCCGAGTTGGCGTGGGACCCAGATGGCTTTGGGTCTGAGTTAGTATTGGGTCCGAGTTGGTGTGGGTTCGAGTTTTCTTCGGGTCCGAGCTGGCATGGATTCCAGTTGGCATGGGCCAGAGTTGGCATGGGTTCGAGTTGGTATGGGTCAGAGTTCATGGTGGAGTTGGTTTGGGTCCGAGTTGACCTGACATGCCTGATCCCATGGTCAAAAGAGCAGACCCCAATCACGTGGGAGCCAGCCAACTACATGTAATGTACATGAAGTACAATAGCACGACTGACACCATCCATTGATGCATAATCATGATCATGCATTAGGCCCTTACATACCGTATAATATAGTGTCTATCTGTGTGAAACCTCCTGCCTGAACGACGTGACACGACTAGGCCTATCGGTAGTTTTTTAGGCCCAGTTAAAGATTTCAACTCAATTTCATTCACTTGTCAGACATGATGTTGTTACTGATGTTAAAACTCAAGAAAGAAAGACATATTACCTTCCAACGAAGACGTTTACTCTTTGTCGTGCTGCAAAGATTGGGAAAGACCCACAGACATCATCCACGCCGCAAAATGTCAGTAAATTTGTCACTCGTTGAACGGGAAGGACAGTCAACGATCAGCTGTCAAACTTAGTGCCATATGAAAATGATTTCTATGTATATGTGTTACGAAGACGTTGATCTGGTGCGTTAAATATCCATAGACAAACTGCATATGAGGCAGAATCCAGACTTCATGCCCCACGTTTAACAATGAGGGCGCAAGTACACTCACACCGCGAGGGGGGTCCACAAGTTTCTTCACTATTTTAGTTTGCCGGCTTCGAAAAGGCAAAAGCCTTTTCAAACGTGTGCATACTCTTGTTTGACGTACCTTATGTGGACATTCCTTTTTTCCCTGTAGTTAAGAGAACTCCGAGGAAATGTTAATTTTTCTCCCACCATGAGCACCTATTCAAACCATGGAGGTAGACTGAAGTTTTGCTGATTTCTTTGGTCATCTCCATTTTGCCACACTATCTAACCTCAAAATGCGTCAGTAACTCTTCCGCGTCCGAGGGGAAACGTGTGGACCCTTGCAGGTCCATATCTCTTTTGTAACGGTCAGATTCACCGGATGGGGCGAGAGTTGTATACAAGCAATTTTCCTCTGGCTCTCTACAAAATATCAATTTTTAACAAATACTTCAAAACAAGTATCATCTTCTAGTGTTTTGTATTTCATATTTTAAAGCAGTGAAAAGTTGTCAGTTATTTTCCGAACATCTATGATGTTAACAAATAAAATTAAGTTCCTGTGAGACATGCCTAAAAACAAAACTATTCCTAACTTAAATTCATCTTGTAACAAATATGTAATTCCTAGTTAACTTTTTTTTGTTTTGAATAAATAATTGCAAAAACTTTCACTGGCCTGCCCTCGGTAGTCTGGTATTCAGAGAAATATGGAAGGGCTGCGTAGCACCGTGATGATAATATTGACAAGAATACAATATAAAATCAGTGCTCTGAAACACCTAATTGCTGAGCTTTCAGTAACTGAGTACCTTCTTCAGGGCAAGCAGAACTCAGAACTGAATGTGAATAGTCTGGTATTCACACTGGGCACAGTTGGCTTGCTTGAGTACATCACCTTGAAGGGACATTTGGAAGGATTTTTATCAATGGCTGGACATTACCAACCAGGGATTTACCTACAAAACTCAAAATAACTTGTGAGCACATCACACACATATATCTCAATGACAAAAATTTAACCTTTATTCCATTGAAAACAAGACAATTACCGGTATAATAACTGTGCTGTGATTTTATAACTCCATTCAGATACAATTTCCACTTAATAATCGATTCAAATTACATCTCATTGGAGAAAAAAAGGTTCATGTACAATATACATACAGCTGTGTCGGTTCAACAGCATAGATATGTAAGGCTTTCTTATTTACAAATTTGTAAGATTAATTTTACAAGTGAATTACAGTGGAATTTTTTTTTCAGGCACACTCAGACAAGCATCCCCTAGGCTCGGGAAGTTGCCGCTACAATATCCACACACAATTTCCTTTCTTCTAATTAGAAGTCTAATTTCTGGAAAGAAAAATGAAACTACTGTTAGGGAAGCTCTGGGTTATCTGGTGACAGGCGTCTTGGAAAAACAGAGAGCTCCTCCCTCTGTGAAAAATCCACACAGCTCCAATGGAATTTCTTAGAGAAATATTTACCTTTTTAAGCACTCTACTCACTACACTGTAACTATGCCAAGTTTACATTGGGGTACAAGACGGGGTGAACTGGTGAAAACCACAACAAATTTAAAGAAGAATTTTTGACTGAGGTTTCATTAATTTTGTTGCTCAACAAGTAAGCACACCTGTTTCAGAGCACTTGCAATGAAAACCAAGTAAAGCAAAACCATGCAAATGTCATTAAAACCCCTCTTCAAATTTCATTTCATTCTACAATTCACAGCTAAGACAAAATTCCTGACTGGAAACAAAATTCAACCGGAGCAGCATATTAAGCTATTCCATGGTTAAAGAGAAACCTGGCAAAAATCCGAACCCAAATTAGTACAGTTTTATTTTTGTTGAAGGATTCGAACCAGCAGTCTTCCAAGCATTGTGCAGTTGCTCTGCCAACTTAGCTATCGAGCCTAGGATGACAGTCTAACAACTTTTGATCAAGATTCCTGATGGTCGTAGCTTCCAATCGTGCTTCTGCTAAGTGTCTTGCTTCAAATGCAACTTTGTTTTCAAAAACAACTGAGCACCAGATTTGAAATCTGTCAAACCCAACGTGCCATTTTTATGGTTAAAAAAAGAATTCATCCAATGTCTTGAGTTTCTGTGTTGACTGTAAAATAAAAGTGCAGCAAGAGAATCAAAACAAGCAAGAGACTTACAATTTTTTCTGCTGATTTACAATTAAATTGATCTCTTTAAATTGTAAATAAGAATTGCCGATTGTACAAAAGGAGGGTTACTTTTGAATGCACAATCTTGAGTCTGACTCAAACTTGCAAGCTGTTTGACCAGGGCTGTCTACTCATAAAACTCTTTATAACACTTTTACCAAAACTAAGCATGATGGTTTACAATTGTGCTTCTAGATTATAAGTTTGTTCAATCTTTGGTTTGTCAAAGAACAGGAATTCCTCATTAATGGCTTAAGTAACGTAGCCACTGGTCCAGGCACTAATGCACAAACCCATCATGAAGCAAATAAACCACTGATTTGTGAATTTAAAAATGGCATATTTGGTCTACTCTTATTTGAAAACAGAATGACAGATTCAATATCATGGGGTGGCCAAGGAGAAATTGGTCATTTATGAATATGCAAATCAGCTTGATTTGTACATGTTGTGTAGTGATCACTACATGAACAAGCTGACAACAACTTAATATTAATGCCCTTGCACCATTTTTGCATACCTAAACCTGCCGATTGTGCGAAATTTGCTCACTCCTGAAAAGCCCGAAGTGGTCAAAATGTAAAATGGTGTCATCTATACATCACAAGCCTATTCATTGCACTACTGGTATTTTTATTTCAAACAACTCCTCGCATTATAAATAATACATTGTGTTTGAAAAAGCAACTACCAATTTTGCACTGGTAATTTTTATTGCAAACAATCTTAAAAACGGTTCAGCAGAACACTGTGCATTGCAAAAACTTGCAAGAGCAAATAAACTTTTTAATTATTAGCCCTATAAAAAGTGCTTTCCATAAAAAAAAGACCAGTCTCAATTTGCCTTAAAGAATGTCCGTAAAATTCAGTGGAAATTTAAAAACTAGTACAAAAAGCAATAGTTTGTAATACTTTTGAAATAAAAAAGCGTACATAAAAGACCTACGTGTCATAATCCTCTATTTTGCTAAACACAACATACATTGTACAAGACACTAGCCAAGCTTTGAGGCTTAAAAATTGGGGGAAATGCTCACTAATAATATTTAGATAATATTTGACAAATGGAAATCATATGGAAAAATAATGTTGTACATAGACATCAATAGATGCAACTCTTAAAAATTTGGAAGGAGCACTGTTTCTCCAAAATGAATGTGTAATGCCTTGGTCAATATTAAAATTTTCCAAAATTACTCTAAAACTCTGTGGACAACAGAACTTAAACTTCACGGAGTAGAATGTCGAGATTTTGGTTTAGTTAAATTTACTTATTTGTTTGCCTTTGTTTGGACCAATGAAACATCAGACACCTGTTGCCGATGGGTGCAGCACACCAATACAAGACTACTGGAATCTGGTGCAGAGGATCTGCGCATAACTGGGCCCTCTGTATTGTTGATATGAATACTGCTGTTGGGTGATGGCACAAGCGTATAAGGCAGTCAGACGAAGGTGTGGACCATGTGGCATGGTGAGCCCATGGTTCTCAAGGTTTTTCTGCTTATGCATATAAGGCAGAGCCATAATTCCCAGCCAGTTTTTCCCATTACAACGACGCATCAGCGGCGCAAGAGGCCAACCCAACAAAACAAGTTAGCATTTTGGATATACAACATTTTCATATTAGCGCATCCAAACAAAGCAAAAGTTGCCTTATAATTTCCCAACGAAACCTAAAAACAAAACAACAAAGTATACAACACTGTCAGCGATGTTCTCAGTTTTTTTTCTGCTGCAAATCCAGCGGGGACACGTTTGGCATTTCGGAAGTTGAATGTGAAATTGTTGCACTGATTAAAATGTTCAACTTTGTCTGTTTTGTTCTTGTAGTCGAGACCCCCTTAAGACCATCACAAGACCTCACAAGCTCCACAACGCCAGCACGAGACCCTCCCATCTAAGGTTCACACCAAAACCTATGCGACTGAGTCACTGTTGACCCTTGTTCCTTGCGACCGGCCTTGTGTCTAATCCTGCGATGGTCCCCGACTATGATTGGAGACGAGTAGATCTCAGGAGCTCTCCGTCTTCCACCGCTTCAGCTTGCCCACCAGGTTGGTCCTGGACGGTAGGAGCTTGCTCTTGGAGGAACGGGAGGAGCCCTTGTCTGCCTCCTCCATCCGCTCAAACTCTGCCTTGAAGTCCTCGGCCTTGAAGTCGCGGGGCAAGGTGGAAGACTTTTTGGCTGCACCTGGGACAAAGGATGGGGAAAGGGAACCAGTAAAACATTAAATGCACTCTTGCATTCAAGTCCATTTCCAAGTCTGATGAGCACCCCTCAATATGAATTGGTAAATATGAAGCATATGACCTAATGGTAACGGTTAGACATTCCTGAGCACAGAGTCAGCAGGTTCAAAGCCACTTGCTAGTTACATGTTGTGACCTTAGGCAAGTCACTTTACTCCCATTTACGTATCTGCACCCAGAGCTATAAAGAGGTGCCCGTGAGGGTAGAGATGGTTGAGCTCGATTTTCCGTTTTCGCCTGGAATATCTAATCTGGAGCTGTATGCTCCTGAGGGAGCTGACATGGTTCTACGAGTGTTCCTGGGCCCATTGTGCAGGGATAACAATGATGTAGCACCTTGAACAATAATAATGGTGAATATCTAGATATCAGAGTTCTAGCAAATCATCAACTTGATGAAACAAAACAGTGTGTGTAACTGTTGTTTGAGGTAAGGGGAGGGGGGGCTTGTCCCCTCCCTCTTGGAAAGCAACTTAAAAGTAAAAGCAAATGAAAAGGGAAGGGTAATTAGATGAAAGAAAAAAAGCACTTGAAAATGCCTCGGGACTGACCCTCTGCCGCTGTTAGAGATTTTTCAATTAAACTTCCCCCCTCCCCGGAAGGAAAGAAAATCCTGGCGACACCCATGACAGTGCGGCCTGAGTACTTGCGTGTGAGTATGTGTGTACAAGCAATGATTCTTTTGCAAGAGGGACTCGGACTACGATGCCCTGCTTACTTGACAGGTTAAGTAGTGAGCCCTCCTTCTCTCTTATCTCCTTGCTGGTCTTCCGGTTCTTCATGCTGGTCAGCCGCTTGAAGCCGGACTTCTTGCCACTACCCCCGACCACGCTGCTCACAGCCACCTTGACATTGGGCAGGTTCTGAGCTACGGCAGGCTGTGGAGGAAACCAGACAAAAAATCTTTGATAATTAATTGATTGGCAACTTTCGTTAAGAAATGGAAAAAAAAAACAAAACAGTCTGATGATGTTTGTAAAACCGAGAAACAGGTGACAGCAGTTCCTGAAGATGAGCTAAATACACAGTCCAACGATGTCGACTGGAATGCATTCAAGTGCATTGCTCATGTTAGAATGGCTATACTCCTTATTTCATGAACTGTAGTTGAATTGAGCATGACTCGCTAGCATGCAAGAGTTCTCAGACCAAGAGTACTTTCCCGCAGCAGACAAGTCCTGCTTGAATTATGCAATTAGTTTGTTTTGAAATTAAGACAGTTAAAAGTGGCAGAGGGCCAGCATTGCAGCACTCATTCTAATGTTCAATTTGTCATTTCTGGTGTCCTTTAGTTACTTTTATAATTATGTTGTCTGCATAAATGTGACAGTTACTAGAAAACTACAGGGAAAAAAATTTGTGAATTTCATTGAACTTCATCGAAGATAAAAGCTTTTCCTTGTGGCCCTGCCCCCCAGGAAACCTGTTTTTAAATCCGACATTATCAGTTAAACAACCAATGTTCCCCTATGTCTGGATCCATGTACAATACTCCTGATGAATGTATTCATAAGGGCGAGCAAGCTGCATTACTTTGCTGCTGACATCATGGCCAGAAAGGGTAAAATCTTGTTTTCGGTCAGGAGCACAGGAATGATTATTTTCTGTAGTAAGTCTTAATTTTACAACACAAAACTACCTCAAACTTCCTATGTGGTGACTCATTAGTGTTTCAGAACCATTTGAAGAATCTGTCAAATTTGTGAAAACCTTTAACATTGAAAGGCTTAATTTGCAAAAAGGCAGTGTTATGGGCAAATCTGTAAGTCCCTTCACAAGTCCAGTCACAAGTCCTTCATAAGACCAGTCATAAGTACAGCGTAAACAATGACAAAGGAATGCTCTTGTCATAGTTCATGTCAACAGCTTGTGACTTGACTTTCAGACTTGATGATGTGTGATGGACTTTTAGGGACCCGTAATGGACTCAACTAGGATGCTGCACAGAGGTGCGCACCAGTCACAGATGGACTCACCTCGTCTCTGTCCCTCAAGGTGAACCTGCCCGGTGTCTTCCATTGGTTCTGCACGTCAAACACTCTCTCAGTGTCCTCCAGTACACGGCTGGTCACTTTCTCCTGGATGTCCTTCTTCTCGGAGCCCTTCCAGTCCTTGTAGACCTCCTCAGTTAGGACGTAGTTGCTGGGGTCGGTGTCCAGGCGGTGGGCTTTGGCCATTGCCTGGATTGAGGATTGAGAAGTGAAATCAAGAGTTTAAGAGGCGTTGAACTTGAGAACTTTCTCAATTCCAGTCACTGTAGTTGCAAGTGACAAGGCAGGATGACAAGGAATGCTTTTGTCACTGTTCATTTCAATAGCTTGTGACTTGGCTTAACATGCAGGGATAGGCAAAACCTGAAGCACTGTAGCTGACAGAGCAGCTTTTCTCCAAACTGTTTACCTCTGGATCTTACATTCTCTCACTTCAGTTTTCAAAGGCATTTACCCAGAGTTACGCCAAAGTCAAACAAAAAAAAAGCGAAAAATGATTGAGAGGATCATTTTACATTCTACATTTTCACGGATAGGCCCAAATTCAAGTGGGTGCGAGGGCAGTATTCGCAGAAGTTTCTAAACATATGACACTCAACACATTGTCGAACTCTACTATGTCAATCATATTGGTAAGGAACTGTTTTGAAGTAATCACCTGGGCTATGATGTCCTGTGCTGTGCTGGTGACTGAGGCCCTAAACACTGTGTACGGTTGCTCCTGGGACACGTTGTACACCCAGACCAGGAACGTCTTCTCAGCGCTGCCGGCATCGACGGATGCCCACTCATCCGAGCGATGTCTCTGGATGTGAATTAACAATCCAAGAAAAGTCACGACAGATTCGTATGACCTTTGACATCAGGGCAAACCTATTAATAATTACATGTAGCCTGTGTCCAAAATGGGCCACCAGAGCCTTGGTTATGCCAGTAAAGACCTAGACCTGGCTCTTGATAATGGATTCAAATACAGCCTTAACCTTCCAAGATGTGCAGGGGTTGATTTTACTGAGTTGCTAAGCTGAACAGCTTAACGATTATTAGTAATAAAGCAAGAAAAAAATCTTCAGCAAGACAAGACCATTAAATTAACGATGGTTTATTACCTCAGAGCAAGATGTCTAGAGCCAAGCCCTGTCCAAAACCTACATCAATATAGGCAACTTTATCAAGGGAACTGTTGTGTTTGTAGAATCTTTTCTCAAATGTTTTTAGAGAAAAACCAACAAAACGGCCTTTTCATCATTCAATATTAAAACTTCAAATTAAGTGTTTGGGTCAAAATGTCATTCGTTCCCCGGCAAGTGTCACGCTTAGCACTATACAATGCATTTCTAATATATGACATACATGACAACGAGCAAAAAGAGGAGGGAACATGGTTAAGAGTATTAATAGTTATTTGAAGAACGACTGCTTGGTTTGAGAAGAGTTACGCTGAAATGCTGTAAACAAGCAAAAAACAATGGGATTAACATTTGGTGGCAAGTAGTAACATGAATTGTTGCTTAAAAATAGCATCTGGCTGGCTGATCTTTTAAGGAAGATTGCCAAAGTTGAGCTGCTGATAACGAGGAGGTCACAACCTAAAAAAAACGAGTCCTAGATTGTTAGAACCACTTTTGAATTAAAAGCCTCGAAAAGAATACGGGCGATTCACAGTAGTGCCCCTCCAAGAGTTTGCAACGCGTTGGCCAATCACAATGCGCAAAATTTGTCGACTGTTTCCAAACTCGTATTGGGTCGACAAATTTCACGCATTGTGCTTGGCCAACACGTTGCAAACTCTTGGAGGCGCACTATTGTGAAACGCCCGTATTGCACGCACTGTAAATCAACAGAAACTGTCAGCATTTTTCACCCATGTGACATCCCTTTTCCTCAGGATGCCAAACCAAGTGATACATGTATCTCAAAAGAACGAGCTCATTTATTTTCTTTCCAGTGCAAACTAAAACAAAATTGCTGAAAGAAAAACCTTAAGACTCAAGTTTGTACAACACAGTCACAAATTCAAATTCAACAGATTAAAAGGCAGTTCTACAAATAAAAAAATGGGAGATTCAAAAATAATATCAAAGATGATATTCTACGGGCTGGGCTCAGGTCTTTTCTTTTGCCCACATCAGGCATGCAAGTGGGAACTCCTGAGCTGCTCAAAAGACTTTGTACAATGGTTTCAAATTTGTGACGTTATTTAGCAAGTAAAACAGGAATTCAGCTGAAATGGGGAAAAGTATGCTGAAAAGCATGCCTGATACACGCTTAGGAAAGTAAACAGAGCAAGCAATCTTTCAATGGTTTGTTTATGGCATACACTAGTAAATTATGAATGCTTCAAATGCCAAGTAATGAGTTATGAAAATGAGTTAATTGTGGCATTGTTTTCACTGACAAACTTACGACAGGTGAAAATGGTACTGGTGAGACTTTGAACAAAAATAAGATGAAAATCAAAACAAAGACAACATTGAAAAGGGAAATTTCACAAAGTTATAAATACGTCTTGCAATGTGGCATCACTGCAAGGCTTGAAAAGTGAAAATCTGACTATGATTTAAAAGACTGCACGAAATTAATTCAACTGGGCATGCAGAAATGGTTAGGTTCGGCGAGGTGGGGGGGGGCGGAGAGAGGGGGCTGACTTGTACCCTATGGTTCCTGTGGAACCGCGGCGACCGCAGACTGGAGGTCTTGAGGTGGTTGAAGTGGTTGAGGTGGCCGGGCGAGTGGTGGCAGTGTGACTGGTCCTGCTGCAGCTGTGACAGAACGGCGGTGGGAGGAAGTGCTGTGAAATTGGGTGTGTGGAGGGGCAGGGGACATTGAGGGCTCTACTTAGAGGGAATAAACTTAGTGTCCAGAATTTTCTGCTTTGTAAAATTCAAATTCTGCTTTCTTCTGCTTTCTAAATTTACCATTTTTCGCATGTTTATTTCTTTCCACATGAATATACATCCCCCCGACTACTGCATGTATGCAGAGAGTGCACAGGACTCTGATGCATCATTCATACAAGTTCAGGCAATGGCTATTTCTTAACCACTCGACAAATTTGCCTGGTGTCATATATGCAAAAAAGTACGCACACAAGTACCAGGCAAAATTCACTAATGCTGAAAACACAGCTACATGTGAAACAGTCTTCGAGCTTCCAGTAGTAAAAGCTCCACTGCACGGTGCATGCAATAACCCATGAGGTTTGGTACCCAGACACAAGAGTATTTTACATTTTATTTCTGTATGCGTTTTCCCTTGTGTGGAAAGGTGCCCTGCTAAATGTAATGCATGCTTAATACACGTAAGTTTGTACATTTGCATGTATGTAACGATGCAAAAAACATTGTCAAGCACAAAACTGTTTACTATTTACCACTTTTTATAAGCTTTTGTGTAGATGAAAAAAATCAAAGGTATATTTGCTGACTGATATTCTTGGCCATGAAAAACAGACACTTTTATTTCAAGAAAAAAGCACTTGTCCATCGGGTAATTTTTCCTTAATTTTTACTTGCCCGAAAGAAGAAATTATTTTCCCAGGTAATTGGACAACTGTTAATGGCGAGACCTGGTAACAAATACAAGCTGTTTTTTATTACAATGTATTCTACACGAATCCAGGGAATTGTTGTCAGTATTTTGTCTTTATTCTATTTTCTCCACAACCCAACATTTTCCGTCTTCAGCCCAGCGATTTCTGCAGATTTTCCACTAAGCAGAGAACCCTTAGAATCAAGTGTCTCCTCTATGGCCTTGTTCGAGGCTTGGCTCTGTTGGTAATTTTGGATTTTTCTCTAACCAGAAACTGTAAGCCCTTTAGAACGGTTGAGCCAGGTAAGAAATCACCTGACTTTCACAAATAAAAAATCACACTGGTGCCATTGTGCACAGGTAGAAGATAAACCCACCCACTTTGCACGAACTACAAGCATCTGCCAACCTGCCTACCAAGCAAACGTGATGTGCTACTCACTGATAATAAAGACTCTGGGATTTGGTTTTGTGGAACAGAATTTGGAATTCATGTACAAGAAAATGGATCCATATTAAACAGGTACGGTCATTTGCAAAACTTTAAGACCACCTGGAATTTTGGGCCTGCATTATATTGTTTCACTGAATGATTACATAAAATGTTTTTTACAGTGGCGATAACGTCAGAGTTGTGCTATGAGCCCATTTGCATGAATTCTGTTGCAAAGGCAGGTCTTGCATAATTTGTTTGTAAGGCAGCATGGGTAAAAAAAGCCAGTCTAAGTAATCAGAAATAAAGGAGGGCACACTAAATATTGGACTGTTAACATTTCAAATCAAGGAAATGTAGTCAAACAGCTATTTAACCAAGATACTAATGTTACACATTGAAAATAAACATACATGTAAGTTGCCATGATTGATTGGTTAAGTGGTTAAGTTTGGTTTTTCTTCAGGTTTTCTTGAGGTTTGGTTTTTCTTCGGTACCCACAGAAGAGAATTCTGTGGAATTTTCAGATGCCTGGTTCTTGATAAGCCTGAAATTCTGCAGTCAGCAAAGCCATGAAAATGGGCCCAAGGGCATGACCAACTGTGAAAACTTTCCTGGTGAGTCGAACCACTGAGAGTGCTATATGGGCAGGTTTTTTCAATGGCGCGTGCTGTGAACATGGTTTTACATGCGGGAGGCAAGCACCACACAAATGTGAAGCCTGCTGCCACAGAGCACAGTATGGGTGACCAAACCTGTAGGGAACTGTAGAAAATGATGTAAGGTCCACCCACAAACCCTAAGTGAGGGAGCACCCACTCGGTGAATCAGAGCACTTCAAAGTCGAGCCAAATGTGCAAATAATCCAAGTTGGAATTTCAAATGAATGTGCACAAAATGTTCAACTGAATGTGCACAAAATGTCAACTGGACGAACACAAACTCTTCAATTACATGTGCACAAATGTTTGACTGACTGAGCACAAAGTTTGAACTAAACTGGCAGAAAAAATTTCAATTGAATAAAACTTTTCACTGAATGTGCACAAAATCCATCTGTATATTAAGAGAGACAATTACATTTCTGCAAGCTGTAACTGGTAAGTGTCTACACATATGATGGCCTTTTAAGCAGCGGGATTTGGGCCCAAAACGGATGACTGACCAGATCAACTCACCTCTGTGATCTGCTTGAGGACAAAGCGGCCCTTTCCGGACCAGCCAGCCTGCACCTCGAGGACCCTCTCATCCATCTCCAGGGTGCGCTCCTCCAACCGGCTGTCCACCTTGGACTCCCCCGGGTACTCCTCCCAGTTCTCCTGCACGTCCTCAATCAAGGCGTACAGGCTGATCTCGTCCAGCTGCTTGTCCGCCCAACCTAGAGCCTTGAGATTAAAAACAACTCCACTGATTTGGGGAAATGTACTGGAATGCATACTGTCACTTTTCTGTCAATTTTTATTCTGTTTGTCATTCGGTGACATGAACAAGCACGGTGTGAGATTTATTTGACACACTTCAAAACTGCCAGTTACTGAGAAAAATTTTCTTAACCCTGACAGTTCTCAATCCTCCAATTTCAATATGATGTTGCATACACCCTAGGGGGCTCTCAGGAGCGGGGCTAGAGTTAAGTCCACAAAAAGTCCAGACACAACTTGTTTCACAAATCCAGTCAAAGTAAAAGGATGATCAGTGATATATGGGGAATGATTGTGTGAACTGGCTTAAGACTGGATGATTTCTGATGGACTAGACTTCAACCCTACTTAGGAGAGAATAGTGGCGTTGGAATTCTTACCTGGGCGATGATTTCATGGACTCTTGTGTCTGGTGTGGCTTTCAATGTTGTGCTCTGCTCAGTGAACACAATGCCATATACAACCACAGGCTGGGCCTCCCGCTTGACCTCCGACCCGTCAACAACCTGAATGAAATCCACAAATCAAAGCTTGAAATTCAAAGATATATTCTCCATATTAAACCAAGTGTCTCCAAAAGGTTGCTGAATCACAAAGTCAGGATTTTGCAGGTATCATCCAAATCAAACGATCAGACTTTGAAACTGGAATAATTGTTTTTTTAAGTTAACTCTTGTAAACAAAGGTTTTCCCACTCAATGATGTAAAATCATGTTAACTATGCTTTTGGCCCCTGCTTTTTTTTTTGCACATCTTCACATGAAAGTCATTTCCGACCGAAAAAAATACAATGTCACAGAGTGAGGTGCAAAATATAAATACTCTGACTAGCATGCTGTGTCTGACTGGGCAGAAACTTTGCAGCTGTAGGAAGCACTGATGCGGTCAAGTTTCAGTAAAATCTATCATTGCATCACCGAGATCAAGGGCTAACTGACCCCTGATGAGAGATGGCTCTCTAAACCTGGCACTTTGGAGGTGAAATACAATTTGTCATTTCCCATTTTGGTTCTTCCTGTGTTTGAGATGGAAGGATATATATGCCCATTTCTTCTGGACTGCCTCACCTCGATGAACTCCATCCTGGAGCTGCGCTCTCGGCCGATGTGGTAGTAGACCATGTTGGACAGCATCTCTCGTTTCTGCTGGGCCTCCAAGACCTGGGTCTTGTCCGAGATGTCCTTCATGTCCTCCAGGCGGGTGAAGACGAACAGGGTGGCCAGCTCTTGGGGAACGTTCTGGGGTGAGCGGAGCCGGACATGCCGAAAACCTGAAATACAGTGACCAGACTTAGACGCTGTGACCGAGATGGCTACATGCTCATGAGCAGGTGGTGTGCACATTTGAAATACCTTTTTGACTGATGGGGTGCTGACACTTGCAACAATGCATGTGTTTTTATCATGTTTTGTACAAACAAGTCATTGCATCACCGAGATCAAGGGCTAATTGACCCATGATGAGAGATGGCTCTCTAAACCTGGCACTTTGGACTTAGAAGCTGTGACCGAGATGGCTACATGCTCATGAGCAGGTGGTGTGCACATTTTTGTCATGTTTTGTACAAACAAGTGTAAAAAACCTTAAACAGTAGTACCAATAGATTCAGAGTTTGGCAAACTAGAAGGCTCACTGTAAACAAGTGCGGCAGGTATGGACACTTGTTCCACAAAAATGGCAGGAGTCTTAGAGCTAACACATCTGCGTTACAAGCCCCACATGCAACAATTACAGACTACTCCAGTGACCAGAATTGGATGTAACATTTCTGCATTAATAGCTAACAACAGTTGACCTGGGGGACTGCTGACCTGTCCTGAGGCACCTGAGGGGAATCTGCCGCTGGACCATGACGTTTCCACTACTGTCCACCACGGCCAGCCGCAGGAAGGCATTTGCATCGTAGCTGATCTGGAAGGTGAAGGTCTCGTCCCAGATGGGGTTGACGGCATTGCGGGGTGAAGGCTTGGTCTTCCATTTGGCGCAGTCGGCCGGGATGCCAATGGTCTCAACCTCAACGCTGTATGAGGCGTTGGGGCTGGAGGTGGAGAGGAACTGGCCCGACACAATCTGTGGACACGAGGAGGGGCGAAACGAGTGATCAACCTGGTCCTCGACCTTAGAAAAGTTTTATTTTAGGGGGCAATTTCCTCAAAGTAAATCTGATGTGGAAAAAATACTGTATCCGGATTCCACTTACTGGGTTGTGTACAAAGTCCATGTTGAGTTGACAACATTTGATAAAGTTTTTCTAAAAACCAGATAGATTCCTCAGTCTCAGATTCATGTCTCCTAGAATTACAAGGGGAACCAGCAGTCTTAACCATTGATGTCGCCAACATGCTGTACCTACTTTTTATGAAAGACTATGGACCTCTCCAATGCCAACAACTTCGGCACTATGAAAGAACACCAATTTCTCAGAAAACAGATCAAGAACAATTTTGATATGAGGTGTGGGTCTATTTATTTTCTTTACTGTTGCCAAATTGTAACTCATGGAATCAAATACATATAAAGACAGATCAAACATTAAATTGGCTGTTCAAATTGTACAACTTTAGCCAAAATTGTTATTGTTAAGAGTCAGTTCAAGGTGTTAAAGGTGGAACCACGACTGTCATCACACCGCTGAAATAAATATCAATTTTTTTAGTGCCTACTCCATGGTTTTTTTATGAGGGAGGGACTGTCTGACTCACAGAAATGGTCAACTCTTTGGCCTGGAGCCCCTCGAAGACCTTGTCGTAGGCGTTGAAGCGCTGGAAGAGAGGGTGTGTCTTGTCCCTGAGGTTGGCTGGCTTCAGGACGAAGCCCGAGTTGCCTGACTGCTCAAACATGGCCTTGTTGGTTATCAGGTTGGTGTCTGAGCAGAAAAATGAAGCAAAAGGTTTATGTTGGTGAATTGATTGTTCATGGGTTTCCGTGACGATGACCAGTCAATTGAAAATCTTGGTCCATTTTTGTCTGGTTACTGAATACAACTCAGCTGAAGACTCGTACAGAAAAAGCCTTCAGGACAGTTTTATAACCATTTGTTAGAGTTTCTGTCAATCAATATTTGAGTACCACATAAAAATGGCATCTTACCACTTTATTTCAAATGAATTTTTTCCTGTTTCATTGACAACACTACGAGATATTGAAGAAAAATAAAAAGAAAGCAGACTTAACTATATGCTGCCAGGTTTAATTTGAAGTTGCATGACGTATTCCCAGGGGATTTTCAAGATTTCCGTTTTTAAAATTCTTAAAAAATTATAACTTCATTTACTGGACATTTATACCCACATGAATGACTGTCTGGTGGCTACTCTAATTTGACAGACATCTATTGATGCCTGAGTATTTCAGCCAGGCCTGCCGCCTGGTAAAGAGAGCCCCAATTGTGCTGTGTTACATAATTTTCTTTTGTTCCCGAAACTGGCCCAGTGTGCTACTGCCGTCTTTTCAAATGCAGCCAGATTAGTGTGCAGCGGTATTGTATTGCTCATCCCTGGCGTGCCCTTGCCTCCAGTGGTAATCCGTTTGTGCTGAAAGCCACACACAGTGGTATAAATCATTCAACAAAATGACGGATTTCCTCTCCTTTTGACAACTGAAAAAATGTTGGCAATTCCCAGCTGCCCGTTTTTTTGCTCTGAGTACAGTCTTTTGTTACAAAGCCAAGCTCCTTCGTCCAATTTGGGGCACCCCGGCCATGCGTACAAACCTAAGGTACTTGGTACCGGGCACCCTGGCACGAAGTGGTTAATAAGAGAAACTGACGAGATAGAGCCAATAAATTCCCACACGGTTGTAACAACACACCTTCACATAAAGCTATGGTTATTACAGTTCATTCTTGGTAAAACAGAGGTCAAAACATCTCTGTGAAGGAAGAAAGGGCTGTCTCCTCCTCATAAACTTCTCCAGCCAATTTGTCCACTCACCTTCCGTTTGGTAGTTGAGAGCTACCATCTGGATACCAAAGGCCCAGTAGATGATGGGACTGTAGTTGGATGAGTCTATCCTCATGCCCGCTGGGTAGGTACGCATCAACTGGTACTCGGTATGCGTGAACCGTGCTAAGGAATACTTCCAATTAAACCATGGGCAAATATTGTGTGATAGCAGAACTTTGATTCATGGACACAGACTTGAAAATTATAGCTTTTTCCACAAATCTTAGCTACATCTGTAGTTTTGTCAGAATTTTGTATCCCGTAGTTTGGGAGTTTTCAAGTCAATAAAGAGCAAATGAACTGCAGGTTACCAACTCACAGATGGAAGTATTTCTTTCAGTTCAGACATATCAACTAATTCAGTGACAAGAACTACATGTAGAAGTGTTTACTGCGGTTGTATCTTGTTCATTGGCAGGTGGAAGCACCTGTGAAATACCTCTCTGGCCAATAGGAAACAATGACTTAATTGGCATCTTCTCAGATTAATCTACAGGACTACAAAGGGTTTCAATTTCAGAGATAAAGCTTGAGACAATGCCAGAGAGTTGACACTGAGTTTGGAAAATCCCTATTTTGCTTCAAAGGATATTTGATAAATTGGGCCGGGAACTTGCGGAACATTCTCTTCAGGTTGGTCTCATTCACCGACGAGCAGTGGTAGCACTTGGGCGTCTGCGTCAGACTGGAGATCTGCTCCGAGGGCAGGCTGTCCGGCACGCCTCGATCCATGTCCAAAGAATCACCTGACCAAAAAGAGGAACGAAACACAATTTTTGAATCAGCTTTGTACTGAAATCTGTCACATGAATCCAGTCAAGGTCCTCTTGACGTTTTGCCAGCGTGTTTCTCATCTCCAGGCTTACCTCGACTCAAGCTGATTTCCTTGGTGGAAAGGGCTGGGCTACCTGGTATAGAGGCATTGGAGGATGTGCTTCCTTTCCGCTCCTTATCTCGGTTTTTACCCGTCTTGTCCTTACTGGAGCTTGACTGCTCTGCAAAACCTGGCAAATGCACAAAAAAAAATTTCACTGAAAATTCAAAAACTGAGTTTCAACAGAGTGAGGTCCACACGAGCAACTTGTGTAAAAGTGCATGCAAGTTTACACGATCCTACGTGCCAGCCAATCAGAACTGACTTCAGAAACCCTGATTTTGGTGGAAAACAATGCCAAGGCTGTTGATTGGTTGACAGCTGTCAGTTGACTGTACTGCAATACGACATAGCAAGCTGCGTAAAGCAGCTGTCTCAGGAATATTCTGAGGCCGTGATTGAAATTACTTATCAGGGGCTTGAATTTACCCCAAGGTCTATGGCAGCCAGTTCCTATAGAGTAGTGTGTCATTTCAAGCAGCAGCCAACTGATTCGCATGGGGCTAACATGAACAAGTATATTTTTGTCTGTCATATAGACGATGTGATACTGCGCTCACCAGGGAACTTGACGGCCTGCGTATAGATGACAAGGTTGGAGAGCTGTGCGGCAATCTGGTGCCCTTCCTTCTTCTTCTTGTGTTTGGCTTGGACCATCTTGTGCATGTCTTCCCCGCCTCCGATGGGCGTCGTTATGCCTGTTTTGCTCCTGTTGACAAACCAACCAAAAGACAATCGCAATGAGTCGTTATTATCAATTTTGGAATAAAAGAGAAGCTGTACTGGCAAAGCAAAAAAAAAAAATTCAAAGCTGATTCTCTGTAAAGTGCTAAGCTATTACACAGGACCCGATCTAATAGTCAAAGCTGCTTCTACTTTAATTGCTAAGCTATTACACAGGACCCAATCTAATAGTCAAACCTGTTTCTACTTAGAGTGCTAAGCTATTACACAGGACTCAATCTAATAGTTAAAGCTGTCTCTAATTAGAGTGCTAAGCTATCTGACAAAATAATATGACAAACTCAGTGGAAATCAGCTACCTAAGAACAACATAATGACCTTGTCCGAGTTCACAAACTGATCAAAAAGAGCATGACGTGGCTTTTTATTTGGTATGCCACAGAGGCTTGGCACTGAGAAAAGAATATTTGAAGCATGTGCCTCTTTCAGAGATAATACGTGACTCACTTCTGTGAGGTATAAGTCTTAGCGTTGGCAGTGTTATTGTTGTTGACTGAGATGGACTTGGAAGGATCGTCGGAAAGCTCTGATATATCGGTTGCCGTTGATTCCATTCTGGATAGTGTGCCAGTCTTGCTCTCTGGCACCTCACTGCTGGTTTCTGCAAGATTGGAATAAAACAGAGTCATTTCTGACAGCTCCAGATGCACCAAATTTATGATTTATCCCACTAACAGAAAAAAAATCTGTGTTGGAACGTAATTGAAAATGAAGATCAAATGGATTATGAGATGTGGTACTTTTTGATGGTGGTTCAGCGGGATATGTATGTCACCAAGTTTAGTTGATTTGACCAATTTTGCCCACAATGTACAAGTACATTCAACTCATATTTCTATACTGTGAATTAGTTTACACTTTCCCTGGTATCTGCAAAACATTTGTAACATTTCAACTAAAACATAATGAATTGATTTGAACCGGTAACCTCAGGAAAGATTAAACACGCTCATCAAACTTGCCTTGTTCTTTCTCTTCGTCCCCCCTCTTAAAAACTTGATGATCTTGTGAACCACTGACCTTCTATTGGCAGGACGTCTTCATAGGCATCCTCAAACTCATCGTCCTCCTCCTCTGAAATGTCCCCCATGGAGGCAGTGGCTGCAGCAAGCTCCGCCCCCAACTGGCTCTTCTGCTCTCCGACCATCTGCATCATCTACTAATGCAAAAAGCAAAAACTCGTCTAAGCTTTATACTGCATTGGATTTTAAAATGGTTACTCTTGCAAAGACTTTGGTAAGAAATAAAGATTTCTAGGTATGTCTACAGTCTTTATACAACCACCACCCTGAGTTGAGATCTTCAAAAGTTTGAGTATTTTCAATTGCTTCATTAAGAAAAGTTTCAAAATGATTGTGGAAGCAAAGACCTCGGGCCCATCAAGCCTGAGATGAACCAGCAGGAAGAGACAAAGCCTTGATTCAAAAAGTGGTACCAAATTGTTACCCCTTAGCTGGTAGGCTATCCAGCGATGAGATTGACGAAAGATAAAAATAACTGAAAAACGGTTGAAAAAAGACATAAAGAAGCTGAAATGTGAAAATCTCTGATACTTTTGTACACAGCCATTGAGGAAAACCAGCTGAAATCCGAAACAAAAAAGCTGAAATCAGCTGAAAAGCTGACAAATCTCACGCCTGGCCATCATACCTACCCTGTGTTTGAGAAGCTCCGGCGGTAGCTGGTTAGCTTTGATCTTTTTGTTTTTCACCAGGATCTTCCCTCGGAGGTCCTCGGGGCTGGGCAGGTGGGGGTCATCGCTGAAGTCCGACTCGCACATGAATTTCGTCACCAGCTTATCACCAAACACATCCTTGATAAACAGAAAATACGACCGAGGTCATTCACAGAGTCTTGCGGCCTGCAAAATGGGGTCACCTCAAGAAGCAGGTCTAAGGTCTTTGCAGCTACTGTCCGATGTTTCAATGCTCTCCCAGACTTACCAGAAAGATCTGTGCCATCCTTGCTTGCTGGGGCAGGGAGCAGTGGTTCTCGATAGATAGAATGATGGGATAGTCCGAAGTCACAAACGCTGCCCTGTTGATGGCTTCGACTACATCCTGCAACAGCAAGACAACACACCACAATCAAAACATTGTCAATAAAATCGTCCATTTTGCCAGCAGATAATAGACTTCTCATCTGAATTCTACGACCTACGACCTAATACTTTTACCAATTTTATGATTTCATTGTGTCTAACTCTAAACCTGGCAGACAGAAGTAAAAAAATCACATCTTCCAAGTAACTAACAGTCTCCTTCATGCAAAACGTTACATAAACACATCAGATGAATTCTAAAGATCAGCTTGTTGAGAACAAAGGCATTTTGTTACATATCAACAAAATTCCAAAGGGTTGGCTCAGGGTGCACACAGCACCTTGAATTGGGAATAATGCAGATGTCCATGTAAATACCTGGAGACAAGTACAAGTCACTATGTAGAAAGAACTCACCAAGGTGACATTTGACCCTAGGGAGGTTATCTCACTTTGACACCTAAATTTGTGAACTTCCTATGTGCAGGAAACAATTACTGAGGAAAAAAGCATGCTCAGCAGGACTCGGCAAAGGAATCTTGTCACCAGTGCATACTGTATGGCAGTACCCTAATTTCGCTGAGCGTAATTGAATTGGCTGTTGAGCAGCTCCAGGAACACTGCTGTTGATGCTGGAGGTGGGGCCTTGTATTTTACTAACCTTGAAGCTGATCTTGGAAGTCAGCGTGTGGCCGTGGTATATCATCGGGATGCCGTCGTCACCGTCCCAGCAATCCAACTCCACGCACCGACAGCCAGTCAACAGGATCTAGAGGCACAGGTCAAACGAGTGTGTTAAGTATTCACATCATAGCAAACATGGGGGGACAGCAGCTCTGTGTTTAGGAAATGTAGATATTAAAGTAGTATTGACCATGGAGTGAGTCCTGAATAATGTGGGTGAAACCCGAACCTGAAGTCATGAAAGTAGAGTTTGATCAAAGTCACAGCTGACCCAACTCCCTGACCCTCAATCAGTCGGGAAATTTGGGAGGGGGGGTGGAGTTTGTTTTTGTGGGAAAATACCCAACAACGTGATCGCTTATTTGTGATGCTGTAGGAATTTCCATTTTGAATTTGTTTTAATTTCTGAACATGTTTTTTTGAGGATGTTCTGATGCATCAAATTAGCTTCAGAAGTTGCATTTAAGTATGAACCGGTCTTAATGGTGGTTTGAGGTCCGTAATGGAGATGGGGAATGTTTCAGAATAACAAAAGGACTTCAAAGTCACGACCAACAAAAGTATGAACTGACCTTAATGGTTAATCCCCTGAAGAGTTTTTGAAAAAAATATGCTAAACTTGGAAGATGAAGAACTGTCAGGGCTTAGCCTGGTTTGAAGCCAATGACAGAGCTGGGGAGGGGACGTGTCTTACCTGTGCATAGATCTCGACAGAGGACTCGCCTCGGAGCTGGTGCCCTGTTAGGTAAGTGTTGTGGGAGGAGTCAATGTAGTAATGACTCATTGGGTGGTTGTGCTCCTGTGAAGAACAAACTCAGATGTAAGTCTCGCTACTTGCATTGCAAAATATGCATGGAATATAAAGAAAAGTGACTCAACATTGGGTTTAGGGGAAGAGATTGGCAGGGGCAGTTGGAACTGGGACCGGATTGTCTCGGAGAGGGTTAAACCTACGTCTTGTTTGTAGGCACGCTCTTCGCTGTTGAAGGCATAGCTGTCCTTGTCCATCATGAAGCGGGCAAAGCCCTCAAAGGACAGGCACTGCTGGTCCCTGACGGAAGCCGTTGGCTCATGACGCTGGTTTCCAGACAAGAAAACAGACAAAGAAGGGTGCTGTGAGGATCCAAACTACAAAATTTTCCACAGCTTTTAGGCTTCGTTTCAACTTTTCTATGCGCACCTGACTGAATATAGCAGAAATGGAAAACAGTGAAGTGGGAAACTTAGTTGGAACAAGCTGACCTGCTGTTCCTTCTCCCATGAACAATATCCAACACAGTACATAAGTTTGATTAGAAATCAAAATCATGATAAATATGAACGCACTCGCAAAACATTCTGGAAATGCATCATCTTTTGAATGCTACATGCACCTTAAAGGTTACATCCAAATTCTTTGACTTGCCCTACAGTGACAGCATGTAACTACAAAAAGAAAGGAAGAGTTTTGCTTAGAAATAACAATTACGATAAGGTTACTGGCTGATATGTTGCTTCATTAAAACAGGTGCCCAACTTTGTGTAAATAACAGACATGTACAGCATGGGAAATTGAGCTCAACCCGCAGAATCACTTTCCATACGATGCATAGTGGACAATTCAGCAAATGCTGACAAAATTTCAGTTGGACATTAAAACATGGCACTACAGAATGTAGGCCACGATTTGCTACACAATCCCCAGTGTAGAAATGGACAATTCCTGACTCTGTCTTCGCACTGCAAAAGGTCCCTAACCATTTGAGCGACTGAGAATCAGTTACATGCACAGTGCAAACCCAAATCTGCCTTGCCCTTCTGAGAAGGAAGAAAATGCCCCCCCCCGGCTGTGAAACCGATGATGAAATAGTACCCTTGTGATGGCCACAGGTGAACAGACTTCAGATTTCAAGAGAAAAAGAACTACAGGACCAGTAGCCCAGGAAATTTACTTCATTAAAGAGAACTGACCTGGGTAAATTTCAGTGTGAGGCGTCATTACATTTACACTAATGAAGATATTAAAAAAACAGGAGAATGTCTTAAACATTCATCCAGAAAACAGAATTAAAGTTTGGTTTTAAATTACGAAATGGCACAAATCTTAGTAAATATATCCACTACAATCTGACCCCCCTCCCAAAACTGGTACGGTAGATGGATTTTGGTGGTCCAAAGTGGCCCTGTCCTTGCCCATGCTTTTGGTAGCATTACAACTCACATGGCAGAGTAGAGCAGGGACCACTAGCATCATCAGTGCAGGGACAATGGACCACTTTTTCAAACGTAAACTCTCACAATTAATCTTAGTCCTACAAAATGTTCTAAAAGTACTGTTAAAACCACTCAAAGTTTGGCTCAGAGTGAAAATGAACGTTAGCCAGAGATTTCACATAGAACTGCTCGAGTGTTTAATGCAAGGACATATCTGAAAGATCCTGGTCAGTATGCTTAAACTCAACACTCTGAGACCGACGAATACCAGAGACCTTGCATTTCAGAACATGTCTCGCCTGATGGCCCTTAATAGAGCAGACTGCAATGCTCAGATGACACAATGAATATTAATGGAGTCTGAACTCGATCATCTGCTCAGATCAGCAACTGAATTTGTAATGATTATGCGGGTGCCGGGGTAGGCCCCGGGGGGGAGGGATGGCAAAGCCAGCTCTGGTTTACAGCCAGTCTATTTTACACCCCCCAGGTTGGCGTATAACTCGCCAACGCATTGGTGCCGGGCCGGGGCAATTTACCACCCTTAACTGAATTGCTGGCAGTCAGTGCAGGGGTGATGCATTCTAATGGCGTGTAACTGGAGCTAAGTTGGCCAACACTCGACACTGATGGTGTGCAAATTGGCAAGCACAAAGCCCAAATAAACATCTAGTAATCCCTACAGTACTTCAAGGGGAAGGGAGGAGGGGCTGTGATAGAGGTGGGGGCAGGGGATCGGGGTGGGGCAGTTGGCATAGGTACATGTAGGGGAATGAGAGAGGGAATCAGAGGCTACTGGTTTATTGCACACACCCAGGGATAAGCAAGCTGAAAAATGTCCAAACTGGAACTCTCAAGCATAGTCACAATGAACATTACTTTTTTCTCTTCCTTTACACCTGTCAAAAGAAATTCAATGAAATCCCCGTTTTTACGCATTCGTTGCACACTTCTTCATCTTGTCTCGAATTTTTCTTTCCATCTTTATGGGAAGGGTACTTAAATCTTCCTGTAATTTAAAGGCTACAATTTTGGTCTTAAACACAAACAAGGAACAGCAGTTGACAAGAGCTGTTTGGAGGTCTAGCCATGTTAGACATGCACCCGTGGACACATCTTCTCAGACATAACCTGGAAAATAACCCCTAGATACACCCCCCTCCCGGAGACGCCCACTTCAACACACCTTGCACACACCTATGGACACACCTTTGAACTCTTCATATGACACACGGCTTCACACAAGCCCCTCTGACATGCCCCATCCGGGACATGCCCAAGACTCATCCTCCTTCTAACACACCCATCCCATCCACCAACCTGGATGATCCTCAAGACGGCCTCTTCCTCCAGCTCCTCCTCCTGCTCCCGGCTCAGGAACTGCCTCAACTCCTCCACGCCCATCACGTGGGTGGTGACTGTCTGGACGCCCGTGCTGTTGGCCTGGACGCTGGACGCCGCGATGGCGTCGGCCACGCGGCGGTTGCTGTCAGTCAGGGGCTCTACGAACATGTTCCTGCTCAAGCTGAACACTGTGTACACAAGAGGGAGAAAGAAGAGACAAAGTCAAAACTCTGAAACGGTGAGATACTGATACTGGGAGATATTTGATGACTACATGATCCTGGGCAACGTGACCAAATACTATCACACAACTTCCTATTATAATATATGTCATTCAACTTAACAAAATGAGTCCTAAGTGCTCAGCGCCACTTTCCAGTTACTGGTACAGGCCTTTACAATGAATCTTGCACAATGTAAATCAACAGGAACCATCCACATTTTTCACCAGCATAATGTCCATTTTCATCAGCATGCTGAACTCAGTGATAAATCAAAACAAGGACCTCAGTTTGCCCTTCCAAATGCCAAAAAATCCAAACTGCTGAAACTGCAGCCTTAAGACTCATTTTGTGAGATCCAATTACATGCATTTACGACCCTGACATGTGAGGTCGATGAAGGCTGCTCAGAAAAAAATGCCCACTGCACCACCATGATTTTGTTCATTTTTTGTCAGATCAACATATTAAACAAAGGTCTTCTCAGTCTGGAGGCTTTTGGTACCGAGAAACCAAAGTTGAATTGAAGCCAAGATTCGGGAAAACCTTTAAGAATTAGCAATTAGGGCTACGGCTGTGTCTACCCTCAGAGTGCGTCCGTACATTTGCAACCAGCAAAGACCCAGACCTAGCCAAAGACAAAAGATTTGGGTCTTTCATATAGGATACTTACTGGTTCCTGGCATATACTCTGTTTCAGAGTCCTCCGTCTTGGCCAGTAGCGGGTCCTTGTTGGAGGAGTAAGGTTTGGAATAGGAGTCAAATATGTCCTTGAGGTCCTTCCGACAGCGCAGGCTGAAAGACTTGAACAGCTCCACAAACTCTGTAGGAAAAAAAGAATGAAAAACACACAAAAATTGTATCATTCACACATGCTAAAACAAACTAATGTATGCACATTTGTCTTTTTTGTCATCTATGAGGACACTGAGTTAAACTTGATAATCTACGACTGTAAGTTATCAATATAAAGCCCACCATAAAGTAAAAGTGGCTGGGTTGTTCTGTTCAGTGCGGTACCCATTAAGATCAAACAAAACGAGGTGATGGAATTTGGTGAAATTAAAAGGCTGGGCTCATTAAAAAAAAAGGTGACTATTAATTTCAAAACATACTTCATGATTCATGAGAATGGAGACAGCAGCAATTTGACACAGAAACTTTACTTCGTAAATTTAATGAGACAGAAATATGTTCCACGTTTGCCAATTCCTTGTAAAATTATTCGCAGGTGATGTCTGAAATTCACAGCAAACAGGGTTCTCTGAAATGAATGATGGGCCAGGTCACAGGGTGATGCAAGATGCACGCATTGCACGATATATATTGGCTGGTAGCCTATTTTTGCTAGGCAAAATACTTTGTGTGATTAGTGGCTCACAGGATTGACCCTAATTCCTGGCATATCAATGGTCAGGGGCTTACCGGCAAAAGTAAGCTGTGAGTTCATAGTCAGTAGGCCCTGGGTTCCTGTGGAGGAGGTACTGGGTGACTTCCGGCGGGCGTAGTAAGACAAGGGGATGTCATGGCCCAGCTCGCTGTAGCTGGAATCAGTCCGGCTGTGGCCTGAGTCCGTCCGACTACGGGTGGAGTTCGTCCGGCTGTGGTCTGTGACGATTGAGGCAGAAACTGACGTCGCATCATAATCTGCACGACAAGCAGTGGGGAAAGAATTAGAGAAAGCTGGCGTATGTGTAATTTCATCATTTCCTTCACGGGAAAGGTTTCAAATTTTGAGAAAATGGCCTTTGAATCTGGAAGAGGTAATCATTAAATAAGTGGTCCTTATCAATTCACACCTCTTAATACAGATATTGGGAAGAAAGTAAAAACCATTTCTGAAATTAGATCAAAGTTAGCTCTATAACGTCTAAAAACATAAAGATGAATATTTCCACCAAGGGAAGAGTCTTTGCAGATTGCACTGGATATGTGTATGTGCAACTTCTGTTGCCTTGAATTATTTCAGTGCGCGAACTCAGTATCTTGCTCCAGAAGCCGAATTCCGTTTCTAACTTTGTGTCCAATTTCCTGTCAAAGTGTCCCCCCCCAGTTATACCTTTCCCATCTGGGGCTGACTCATTGGGCTCTGAGATGCCGCTGTCGTCGTTGGCAGTCCTTGACCCGTCCGGCATGTCCACGCTGGAGGAGGGCGAGTCGTCCATGTCGACAGAGCCGTGGAAGGCGTCACTGGCCATGGTGCGTGTCTGCACCTTCCGCATGGCCTTCTTCTTGAAGCTCTGTGCCTTGCGGCTCCGATTCCGGAGCTTGCCATCCTCGGAGCCCTGAGAAATCAAGGAGCAAAAAAATAACCCTCCATTAAAACAGCTCTTACCGGGTAGCACCAACTTACCCGTCAGTTGAGGCTTCATTTTTGGTAGTGAATTCAACCAATGCCTCTTTTCCATTTGCAGAAGAGTGTGCCTTAAAACTCATGCTTTAAAAGGTTTTTCTTTGCAAAGTGTCATCCCACCGGAGTTTTTTAGTGAGAGAAAATAAGGAAATAAAATAATGCACTATTTCATCACTTATGGCAGTGTCTCCCCGAAGTAGAATTGTGGAAAAAATACCATTACCTTTAATATCAATTGACGGTTATACATGTGTACCTTTAGCAACATTTGTTTGCATGATAGGGTGGACAACAAGAGACAGAATACTTGGGATCCTCTCAAAGAAAGAATGCTTAGAGAGCATGTCATCTCATAATTTGGAGCAGTCTTGACACTCCATTCAGAATGCTGTGTTCTCATTCCAGAGTGAGTGGAGTGGCCATTCTGCTGAGAGCAGTGCTCCTGATGGAACATATACTCAGCACGGTCTATGCATAGAGCTCCCAAATCTCACTGACAAGTGAACATTCTGAAGGAATGCTAGTGTTCCAGAGGGAACGGGTCCAACGGAATGCAATTCCCGACCTCTAAGATGATCCCTTACTCAGTCATCCACAATTGGCTTGATTTCGTGATTTTTCATGGTCTACCTTGAATAAACCGGTAATGAAAAAACCTAATTTCCAGAAAGGAGGGTTGTTTGATCTACGACAACAACATCTGGGGAGAGGAAAAGCTGGGAATTGATTCCAGATATGTGGTCATGTCTAACATTTGGCATATAAAATTCTGCATCATATGTACAGTTTTCGATGAAACATACTTGGAGACTGCGAACTCAAAAACCCCTCAGAGCACTGGCTAACTTTTCCGATTTAAACATTCTTGCTGCCAGACCGATAAAGAAGTGGGCAATTTCTCCCAGCGTAAGGCACAACCTGGATATGTTGAAATATTTACTTGGATAAGTGGGGGCTGCTGACAATTTCAAGTGAAATAATGTGGTTGATTGCCATCAAGTCCTACAGGTCAAACCCTGCATGATATTCGTGCAGACACCGTGATTACAGAAATATTTGCTGGATGTTGAAATTACTGCCTTTTTTTAATGAACTCATGGAGATGTCATCAAATAAACCATGTGGACATCTGATTTATTTTTAAGTGATATTTGCGGAATGAAGATATTGATCAGAACTCCAATCTACAACCTCCTGACAGCTTGTTTGGTTTAGTGCCGGCTCAACTACCACGTGGTCGATATCTTTGCTCAACCTCAAACTGAGGAATGGAATTACACAAAAATTTAAAAATCAAGATGAGATAAATAGAGCTGTTTGCAACGACTTGCTCATATCCTGACCTTCTGCGAGACCAGCGATTTTTGCTTGATGGCAATCTTCTTAGTCGGGGCGCTGAACCCGGCCGGCAGCTTGTTCAGCGTGGAACTGGAGTCAGAGTTTTGGTTCCGGTCACTGGGCAGTTTCTTCATGGCCAGATTTTTACCGCCAAAAATCTGAAGAACAAATGACAACAGAAGGGCAGTGTGATGTTGTGTCCGTGAGCAAGGCATTTTAACATACTTAATCCAACCCAATGCTACAACAAAGCATTTTAACAATTGTTGGGGTAAAATGAAATGACAAATTAAAATCCTGGCTACACTATCTGCTCAAAAAAAAACCCTTCAGACTGTCCTCAAGCAGGCTCAATTACTCTACTCAACTAGATGACACGTTCAGTCCAGACAAGGCAATTGGTCGGTGTAAGGATTCTTCCTGTGATTAAATAACACCAGGCTATATTTGGTTTTGACAGCAATCTCATTCATTTTGCGCAAAACTTTTCTTTTTGTCCTCGAAGGTTTCCAGTATATTTCCAACACCACAGAGCTTACCAAATTTATGTGCTCAGCAAAAATTCAGGTAGCAATCGGTCAAAAAGTAATGCACAGTGCATAGCTTTTCAGCTGATGATCTCTTCCTGCTTCATATTCTGCTTCACTTAGTACATATTTGCAAGTTAAGAAACTGGTTCCGAGGTGCAACTGGGTCCATATCCAAATAACTAGTAAGTCTGTGCCAAATCTAAGCACTTATCCTGATGAATCAAGGAATAGGAGACTACAGTCCTTCTGTTATTTCCACTGAGGGATTCTATTTGCAATACTCACTTTCATAGCTTCTAGTGGAGTTGGTCCGATGCACTTCCCGTCTTCGTAGAACAAGTTGAGATATTCTCGCTGTAGCCAGAGGATCCTGCGGTCAGCGGTGTACAAGCGGTAATGTCTAATGGCCCGGATCAGGGCCTGGAGACCGTATGCCCAGAGCAGGACTGTCCGGTTGGGTGCCACAAAATGCAAGAGCCTGTTGTCAGCAATGCTGCCGCCGTACAGGACGGCAAAAGAGTTCTCAGCCTGGCTGAGCCCTGGCAGGTTGTGCCTCTTGGCAATGGGCGCCAAGTCCACCTCCTGGTCGCCCAGGAAGACATCCTTTGCACTCATCAGGTCAAGGTAGCCCTCCTCCAGTCCGCTGGCTATCGTGGTGCTAGAGCTGTACTTGCCACCCAGCACCGCCTCCAGCGAGCTCTCCGAGTCCTCTCCCCCACCCGTAGGGCAGGTCCGGGACCAGACCAGCAGGCTGTTGCTGGGGTCCAGCCGCAGCGTGCAAAGGGCAGACTTGCCCTCGTCATCCCAGTGGACCAGGGTGGTGCCGTGGTGCATGCACTGCAGCCGGTGCAGGTCTCGCTCCAGCAGGTGGTGGGGAATGATCTGGATGTGGTGGGGGTTGGACACTGGGTGGATCGGCTCATACGGGTACTCCTGGTCATCACAGGTGATGTAGGACGTCTTGCCCATTGACTTGACATCATCATCATCTTTGCCTTCACTGTGAAACAGAAAAAAAAAATAAGAGAGAATGTAGACTAACTCCTATGAGTTTACTTTTAATATCTGAGCTTTAACAAGATCTCCCATCATCTTCTATTTCTGGCGTTAATTGTGGTGCTACAACCATGACTGAGGAGTGAAGTTCATGTAACTTTGAAACTGCCCGAAATTGTTTAGCTGTTCTTTTCCATGCCAACCAAAAACTGTTCCTTTTCTCAGTGCCTGTCTGTCAGTCTCTTTGCCCGTCTGCCTGTGCTACCTGTTGCCTTCTTTGTCCACACTGCCATTCCTCTCAGCTGTCTGGATTTCTCAGTGTCAGACTGTCTGTTAGTTGTTCTATCTGCCTATCTGTTTCTACCAGTTTCTGTCTTTCTCAATGCTGCTGCTGCTCCTCTCGGCTGTCTTGAAGACTTTCTCAGTGACTGTATCTGTTAGTCCATCTGTTTGTTTTCACCACTTGTGAACTCCTCAATCATTTTGATGTCCCTGTTAGTGTCAGTCAGTCTACTTGTTTGCCTATCTGTCTGCATTTTACCTGTCACTGTCCTTCTCCATGCTGATATTCCTCTCTGCAGCCTGTCGGCACAGCCTGATATCAGTCAGCACCCAGTGCGCCCTCATCATTTTCTCCGTGTTGAGCAGCCCCCCAGTGTATTCTGCCGTGGTGTCCTTTAACGTTCCATTTTCACCATCCTAGACAGTCAAACATATGAACCAGCAAACAGTCCTTTTAAAAACAGCCAGCTTGGGGCAGAGATGGTGAGATTTCCTGCATAGTTTCTCTGGTATCACTGAAGCACATTCGTTGAAACTGTACAAGGTTTTCCATTGATGTACATGTACGCAGTGCCGATTTACACACCACATTGACACGTCGTATTAGGCATACATATACCAATCTTGCAAAATGTCCAACTGCAGAAGGCTGAGTTGAGGTACATGTATATGCGCAGAGCAACTTTTGTCATCGACAGTTAACAGTGAAAAATGATCATGCTTGGACAGATGCCGTTACCCGGATCTCAATAACAGTGCTGTGTCGCTTCTAACAGTGTTTGGCATTTTGCCAGCCAATTTCCTGCTCAGTGAGCCGGCCACGTATAGCCGGGCAAGTGGGCTTATGTTAAAGAAACCCAATGTGTCTGTTTGCGGAAAAGGAGACATCTGGAGATATTTCAGGAAGGAATTAGCCAATTTGGTGTGTCAATGGGGCAAGATATTGGGGAAGAAAAATATTTGACGTCACGCCGGTATGATTATGATTGGTTGATGTGGGTTGGTACAGTACATGTATATGGCTGTCCTGATAAGGTTGATGGCAAACAATGGTAATGATTATCCCAAATGACCTATGACCATCACTACTGTGCATGCGCTGTTGGTACCTGTACAACAAACTGATCATTTAGCAACAAATTTAAACAACTTCTATCGTAAGAAGAAAAAAGTTCACAATTACTCTTAATAACAAATGAGCATGCATTTACCAACAGGAAGGTCTTAGACAAAAATTTTGAATGAAAACTTATGTATGAATAGCATTTTTCTCTACAGATTAACAAAATTCCACTTCTCTTGAGTTTTCCTAGACCGCTACAAGCCCTAGACAGTGCTCGATCTTGGCGTAATTTCTAGTAGATCTGAAAGGCGGCCCATCACAAGTCAATCCCAAGCCAAATCAAAGAGTAATAAGAAAAAGCCTTGACCACGGTTCGTTTCAGTTGCTTAATTTGCCCATAAATAGATTTGTAGACTGGATCGTTCTGCCAGCTGCCAGCAGAAGGGCAGTTTATCTATTCTGACGTTTCCAGAAAAATCACCTGTACTGCATCCTGTTTTCCCATCTCAATTCTTGCGTTACAGGCAGATGCACGGACAGGGTTTGCGTACCCACCGCTGAACAGTACGTCTTTCTAAGCCTCTTGAGTTCAAATCCACGTACTGAAGGGATAGCACCTTATAAGACTAACTAAAGCTGAAGGGAGGTGTAAGCTTCCGTTACTATGGCTACTTCTTTACAGGCAATGGAATTACTACTGGTAACCGTTGATTTGATACCAGTACTTTTGTAGCATACACATATTGCTCAATGCATTTATCAACGATTTTCAACATACCCACTCTGCTTTTATGATCTACATGTACATGTATTGCCACTGTTCTGATTTTGTATTTTTAATCCATTTTGTCACCCAACTGCCATCAATGTCCAGAGTTTGCTTTCAAAATCTCTTGTGTTCTGCAACCACTCCCCCCATCGGCTTTGGTACTGGTCATAGGGCTTTAAAATTAGATCAAATGAAATGCTTGCAAACCACAACCAGTGTCAGCAAGGACAATTAACCTGCTTGACCTAAGTTCACCCCAAAGTCTTTCTGGGAGGCCCCAGACAACTTGTATTTGGTTGCTCATAAATGCCTGAGACTTCATCCATTCCTACTGGCCAAAAGCATGCCACATGGCCGTTTTTTAACCGATGATAAAGCCACCAACTGCTTTTAAACACTTTCCTGGTTTTATGTGAAACAAATTCTACCGTTACATGTACATTTCATACATGCACATGTACGTGCCAATCACTATTGCTGCATGGGCATATACTGGGGTAGAATACAACCAACGGAGTGGTATTCCGTCCGTCAAAGTTTCTCTCAGGACCACTCCAGCAGCAATCTGCCCCACATGGTGAAATACATGTGTTTGCCCCATGTGCCACTTTCCACATAGGGATTTTTAGTACGGGCGATGCTCATACCATAAAGATGGCTCAATGGGTGTTGTACAAAAATCGATGACAAAGATTGTCAGACAAATATGATTTTTCTTTTCACTTTGATTAATTGCAACTCTTACTTTGTCAGTGGATTCTGGAACCATCACCACGGGTGAGTTCTCATCGTAAATGCTCTGCAGCTCGCGCAGGAAGGCGCCGAAGTATGGCACCACCTTGCAGCCGGGGATGCAGATGGCCCGGTCCACGGCCTCCCGGTACTCGGCGCTGTTGCTGCTGATGGACTCGTAGAGCGCCATCATGGCCTCCACGTCGGCCTCATCCGAGTCCTGAAAGAGCGGCCGCACCAGCATGGACCTGGAGCAATCAAAAAAGTTCCTGGGAAATGGAACGGGGGGGTGCAGCAGGGATGCACACGCGTACGCCAAGGCGAAAGGGTCGGGTGAACAAAAAAAACAAGGGTTGACATGAGCATGTGTTAGCCTAGGCATGGAGATGCTGTCATTGTGAATATGTTTGGTAGGTTTGTATGTATACATGTATGTCACAAATACAAGCACAAATTCATATTACTTAAGCTTGAGCCTCTACAAGAGCAGTTTGCAGTACTGCATGCCACGAAATGAATAGGTTATCAGTCCTTCTTTTTGAACAGCGCCATATGGGAAAACAGTCAGTATCCTTGCACTGGATGGATTTTCTTTTGCGGTAGTCAGAATGGTATTCGGCACAGCAAACATTTTTTCGGATACATGCAATTTGAGTTGGAATTTGTGCGTGTAACAAGCGTGTCTATGAGGCTCCCAAATGCATCGGTCTTTGTGTTATGTACCGCCACTGCACGCGAACGATGGCAACGATGATTAACCTCAGAATACTGGCAACATTTTGCAATGCCAACCTTGGGGTTAATCATGCCCTCTGCAGGTGGTACACACTATTGCAAACTGCTCTCACAGTGACAAGACCTCACAAAATGAGTCAAAGCTCGAGAAAGTTACTTTTTGACCCCCAACAGAAATAGACCCTTAGCATGTGGAAGCCATGTTGGAGGTATTCATTTTATTCCGGTTCAGTAACAATGAGTGCACAAAAGGTCTACTCGTGTGTAAGCCAACGGAACAACAGGAGACACCTACAAAATGGCTGCCAAGCAAAGGATCTATTAATAATAGTTTTATTATTTGGTTTTTAGTCATCCAACAAGAGAATTCCTATTTTAAATGACAATCACTTATCTACATGTACCACAGTGAGAACAACAAATGTTCAAAGTGTAAAACAGAATAAAGGCAAGACTGGGAGATCCCACTTGATTAAGTTTTTGCCACAGTAACAAATATTGGACATCATCATATAACTCAATGGAAAGGTTTACCATTCATTTCACACAGTTACCTACGCTGAGTGAAGAACATAATTAGAATGGTTTGTTAAAAACAGAGTACTGGCAAGACTCATGCATCTGTGAGATCCTGCCACGTGAGGTCTTTTGCCATAATGACAAATATTTGATATGGTTGGTGTTAATCATGCCAATCGGGATGCAAGGAATGTGGGATTATGTACATGTCTGAGGCAATTTGGTTGTTTTTACTTCAATTACAATATTTCCATTTTTTTGGGGGGGAAGGGATAGAATAGACCTATTAACAAGGAAGCCATTTTGATCATATTCCCTGAATCTATTTTACTTTATGTTATCTGCCGAATGGGAGGGTGCCAGACTACTTTGATTTCCATGCCTCCCTTTTTTTCGACGTTGTTTGATACATTTAGACACGATAAATCACACAAATTTTCAATAATTCGTCATTGTAAAGGATTCTAATTGCTAACAAACCTTTATTTTACTGCCTTCTTTTTATTCATAATTTTCCACAATGAAACGTTAACCTCACTTTCAATATGATAAGGCTGACTTGTGAGAGTCAATTGAAGGTTCTGAGTTTTTGTAGACAGTATACACCTCTTAGGATCTAGCTGGTACTCCTTCATTGCTACATTAAAACATTTTCTTTACAAAGTTACGCTGTCCTTCAAATTTACACAAGAGCCAATTTTAAATTTGGTCTTGATATCTCTGTCCTGGTCAACCAGTAATGCAGACTCACACATGCAGATGAATGAAAAGCAAGCAAGTGGATTTTTTTCCTACATCTACAGATGAGCAATACAGACATGTTGGTGGCTGCCGTAAGCATAAGCTGAAACAACGTCTCCAGAAAAACAGAGGCAGGTGTAATGAGAGAGATTCCCAACTACAGAGCTATACTAAATTTCTAGAGCATTAACTTTGCTTACGAAGTGAAGCTCTCTGGGCGAATCCACATTTTTGAACAAACCTCCAGAGAGCTGAAACATTTAGTATGTTTTACTGAGGTTATTTGCAATGTGCATAATTATCCGTGTCAGTATTCCTTACTGCCGGATTACGTGCACCGAAAACCAGAAAGCACAATATGAGCATTCTTGCATCTGTGCAAACGCTACGATTTTCTATCCGATGTTATTATCGGCATTTGTTCCACCAGCTACTTTCATTCCAAACCCATTATTTGTTCTGCATTCCGTCCCCTCTCAATGTGTTCCACAAACTAGCACACACTGTGAAATGCCTGTGCTCAGGAGACCTTCAATGCATTCTGCATATATGGGAATGAGGAGTACACAGCTCCAGCAATTCACCACAGCTCTCTGTTCTTCATTTCTCTGGCCTTGATAGCACTGATGATGCAACAGAAGCACGCGATACAAAGAGTACAGTGTACATGCAACACACCAAACTATGTGCATGTATAAAGAGCAAAAGAAAATTACATGCATAGGGGTGAAGCAGATCTATACAATCTAGGTTCTACACACTGAACTCACTCAAGGGAACTTAAAGATAATTCCTGACTGTTAAGAGTATAAAATAAGGTGTGTATCCTTCTTTTTAAAAAAATTCTCAATGCAGGCATTTTGGGCGATGCAGATAAAGTGCTTATTTATGTAGGTCCCTCAATTTCCTCCTTTGGGATTCACTTTTTTAAGTCACTATTACAGTACCCTTGGTACTACTGAAGTATCTCTGGCTTCACAAACTGGGCATCAAACCAAGACAACATTTATTAGATCTACAAAGAACTACCTGTTTTGTTGGATTACTGCTTGATGATAAACTTTCTGTTGCCTGGTCGACATTGTTGATCCTCCCCCCCCCAAATGTGTTTACATGTATAGACCAGTACAGGACTATTTGCATAACACACGCTTTGGAACTGTTCAACCCTATAAAAGCAACTTTTTTAACAATCAGTGGCTCGCAATACTTCCAACGTTTACCTCTGTCATACATCATCTTTTTTATTCACCAATCCAGTCCCCATGTAAGCTGTAATGTATGCAAAGCATCCTATTACTTTTTGCCGAGATGCATATTTAAATATTCATGAGCTTGAATATTCAAGCGGATGGCAACTGATTGTCACTTACCTGAGGCCGTCTAGTATCTCCATCACGGTGTTGAAGTTGCCCATGTTCCAGCAGGCATTTGCTACTTGCACCAGGCTGACCAGCAGCATGGTCTTGTTCTCCTCTCCCTCAGTGACGATGATTTCAGTCACCCAGTCGCTCACCTTGGCAACAGGAAAAAAACAATCACAGTCAATTTTCTCCCAAAATCTGCAGTGCTTCAAAAGAGATCCATTCTGCAAAACAACATAAATGTCAGCAGAGGTTGTGCAAAATGGCAGAAAAAGTAGATACAATATCTTTAGTCTTATACACTTAAGGAAAACCTTGGGACCATTCAAATCCTGCATAATCTTGTTGGGTTCAGGGACCACTGGAATCCTGCATAAACCTTGTTGGGTTCAGCATGGTTAGGGTTAACCCTAACCCCCTAGGGACCATTAAAATCCTGCATAACATTGTTGGGTTCAGGGACCACTGAAATCTTGCATAACCTTGTTGGGTTTAGGGACCACTGAAATCTTGCCTAACCTTGTTGGGTTCAGCATGGCCAGGGTTTTAAGCAAAATATGCTTGTGCAATTTAATGATGTTTTAGTGACTCTCTTAAATAGGATACCAATCTGTGAACAAATACCGGTATTACATGCACACCAGTGCCTAGGTCCTGTGGCTCAGAGAGTTGAAAGAACTTTTTAGTTCCTTCTATGTTTCTGCACTGAGAATATGCCGGAACATTTTTAGCAAATGTACCATGAAAGTTCCTTGATGTAATATTTACTCCACATCTGCACCCATATGAAGTACAAACCACAAACCAGCCGTGTGCAAAAGTTGGCTTGGTTTGCCAAACAAATGGGTTTCCAGAGCTACGACTACAATGTGCGTGTCCATGTACCGGTGCTATTCTGCATTAATTATATGTGCAACTGGCAAAGACCTAAACCTGAGCTCTAAACACAAAGAGTCAGCCATGTGTTACCTCTCGGAAACGAAGCAGCAGGTCCTTGACGGTCTTGCTCCCAGCCTCTTCCCCATTCGCAAACTCCAGGCCCTGGCCGCGGGCATTGGTGACCTGCCTGACGTAGCTGGCAGGCGGCACCTCACGAAACAGTGCATGCTCGGTCTCAGTCAGGGCAAGTGCCACCTCCTCGGGGAAGTGCAGGAGCTTGCGGCAGCGCTCAAACTCCTCCTGGTAGAGGGAGGTCTGTCTCTGGGGCATGTGGGGGCCATCTTGGCCTGAGGGTTTATCTGTGGTTAGAGGGAGTGGGTAAGGGGAAGACAGATGAATGTTGGTTCAAATTTCTCATTCATATTCTTATACTGTGTTCATCCAACAGAGCGGGTGCCAATTACAGGCTGATTGTAAGTGACAATGAAGAAGACATTCCTGGGAAAACCCAGAGACTCAGGTAAGGACGGAACAAAAAAGGGGAAGAAAGCACCACTACGCCAGCCTTATTCGGCTTAACCTCTTGCTGCCGGGTGGATTTTTCTTGACTAAGACAAGATGCTGGGTCCTTTTCAAGATTTTCCGTTTTCAAAATTCTTCAAAAATTCATCATTTCATTTAATGGCCATTTATACCAAAATGAAGGACTCTTTGGGCACTACTCTAAAGCTGACAGGTAAAATTCATTGATTCCTGAATATTTCAGCCAGGCCTGCAGCCTTGGAAAAGAGCCTAGATTGTGCGGTGTTACGTAAGATTCTTTTGTTCCCGAAACCGGCACCGTGCACTGCTGACCTCTTTCCAATAGGGGCCAGATTAGCGTGCAGCGGTGCTGTGTGGCTCATCGCTGCAGTGGTGGTGAGCTTTTGTCCATGGTGGTAATCTGCTTGCTCTAAATGCCTAAAACTGTGGTATACTGTTTCAAAACAAGGCTGGATTATCTCCACTATTGAGAGCGAAAGAATGTTGGTAATGCCCGGCAACTCAGTCTTTTGTGCAGAGCATGGTCTTTTATTATAAGGCCCAACTCTTTTGTCCCAGTTCCAGGCTCCCCGGCTCTGCATATAAAGCCTAGGTACTCGAAAACGGGTCGCCCGGCAGGGAGTGGTTAAATATGGCAGATAAAACAGTGTGCAGTCTGAAACCATTTCCCACAAGATTGGTGTGCCATTAATCCTATCCCTCCCACACCCTTCAAATCCACTGACAGGAAACATTTTCTACAGGTTTTTTCTATTACTACAAGTATCTAAAGTGGGACTCGTCAGTGGTCCTCAATACCCACCAACAGAACTGTGTACACATGTACATGTAAAGGCACCAAGACTTGAACATCTGTGTTTGCTTTAAATAAAGTTTACTTGGGGACTAGCAGTGTTAAAAAGCCAAAAAATTAACTATGGTCAAAATCCTTAAAAATTTGGCTCACTGTTCACAATGAAGGGACCTGTCACAATGGGAACTTCCTCCCAGACGACACCACAGTTCTGCTCTTGAATACTGACATTACCTGTATCATAATACACGTACCCCAACAGCCTCGAAGCATATTCCCTTTTCTCAAGGTATCATCTGTACGTAATGAACCCCGCTGGAAAATTCCACAGGCAAGAAGAGACATCCATATTGATACCATAGTCTTTGAGTATTTAACAGGAAATGTCCCAAGTTATCTTAGCGTTGTTTTCATTCCAGTCAGTGAAATATATTATTATCACACTAGTAACAGCAATGTTGGCAGTATGGTTCTTTCACTGTATACCCTTAGAACTAAAAGTACACGTAGGAAAACCTTTTAACTTCAGGGGTGCCCAGGCTTGGAACAACTGATGTGTACCATACCACAACTTTGAAAATTCTGTTCCTGGTCACTTCATTAAACAGCAACCAGCACTTCATGAAACAGCTCAGTTAATGGCACTTTTGGTGATGTTTTTGTGTCATGTGGGAATTTCTTTGTTCAGTGTAATTTCTCTTGTACCGGTAAATGTAGTTTCTTTCACTTTTTTTCAACGTTCTAACATTGCACTCTTCAACATTTCAACTGTACTTTAGTAGTTTTAGTGTGAACTGGGTCAGTGAGTTTTCCTGCTTAATGGAACACCAAGGATAAGTCAGAAATACAGCAATGCAAAGACTGAAACTCAATGTGAAAAGGGCAAAAAAGTACTATTCAAAGTTTGCATCACAAACTTTGATGGCATGGGTTCTTTAATGAACCGGCAACCCTAGAGATATTCCCAAGCAGGAAGCAGTTTGCATTTCTTCTCAAGATCTCCTCCTGAGAAGCATTCCTGCCCTTGCCCGTCTCCTTCACACCTAAGCTGCTAAATCTCCACTTAGCGGCATACCATGTCCACTGAGTGCATTCCAGGAGAAATCCCAGACCTGCCTTTCTGAAAAAAACTGAAACTGTGTGGACTAATTAGCCCGATGTTCTACTTCACATCCCCAGTCATCGAAGCCTTCCTCTCCCCCTCCAAGTTTTCCATTTTACTTTTAAGTCTATACGGATAAGCCGGGAAAACTGTCCAGGTTGATCAACTGGGACCAGCTCTTCATTTTGTTCCCCTACTCCCATGCCCGTCAATGATTGATCAAAGCGTCCCAAAAGACGCCCCTTTGAGTCTCGAGGAGGGATTTCTGGCAGGGGCTCGCAGCTTGTTGACTCAGCTGAACATTTAGGAATGAGAAATGCAGCCTCTGAGGAAGCATTCAAAACTCAGTGGGCGGATTTCAAACCATCAGAACTGAGGCTTGAAATGAACAAAAGAAAAAGGGCAATTTACCACGATACTGAGACATCACAGAAAACGGTGTGGGTGCAAGGAAAATGTTCTCAACTAGGGACGAAACATACCGGTACACTAAAATGTTACCAGAAACTCTACCCGATCATTCAATCCCCAAAACATAAAACATTTCTGCGCACACTTTTGAAATTTAGATTGATGCTAGAGTACATTTGTGTGTGTCCACAGATATCGCCTTATGTCTTCAGATCATTAAAGATTCACCAGGAGGCTGTGGGCAGGGCTTGCAATCATCGGCATGGCTGCTGTTACTTTAAATGGGATCTGATGCCCCTTGGAAGTTAAAACACAAGGAATGTTTCACTGGCTTAATGGAGAGTGGGAGATAATGGATTTTTGAGGAAGGTTCCTAGTTCCTAGCAGCCACACCCAAGAAATCATGCTTTGTATTTCTAACATACATGTACAATGTACCGGTATAAATCTCTGATCAGGTAGACGTGTTGTTGTTATTCTCTTAACAGTTCTGCTTTATTATGATAAATGTGTTATTATCCATCAAGGTGAGCCAAAGCACCGACAGTCACGAACTCGTTCTTGTGTCACGATTCACATAAGATCAAAAAAAAAAAAAGAAGAGATCGGATCCGAGAGCCAGACTTAGTTTAAACACCCGGTAATGAACAAAACCTGAGGTTCCGATTAAGGAGTACTGCACAGCCACAATTAAAGAGTCCCAATGGGACGTCCCCTGGAGATTGGCTAGACCAGCTCAGAAGAAGCCTGTCACAGTGATGGACAGCCCTGGCCGTGGCTTCGTTGGCGAACCCCTAAGGAAACAATGGTCAGTAATAGGTGGAAGCAAAGCAGCTAACAGCGACACATGCATGTAGGGCAAAAATGGTGGCACGAGACAAAAATACTCAGGAATGAGTCATGCCAGTACAGCCATTTTTGTCAGCCATTTTTTTCTAATGCATTTTTTTCTAAAGAAACAGCGGTGGCTCTTTGATTCGATGCATTTCATTTGGCAAACTGGCAAAAATGAACATTGTGCGGGTGAAAAATGTGAACGGTTCCCATTCATTTCTATGGTGCACAACGTAAAGACCTGCTACAGTACTCACAAGTGGCTCTGACAATTTATGACTCACGTTGTACAGAGAGGGTCACACTTTAGTTCATGCCAAGAAAAACATAGCAGGAAGGTATAGCACATTTGGGAGGGAAATTAGAATGGTCACAATGGTCAAGGCAACATCATATTTGAAAGGAGAAGGAACAGTTACAAAGTTTTGTATGACATTTTGTCCGCAAGGCAGCATTGGTAAAAAAAGCCAGTCTAAGCAATCAGAAATAAAGGAGGGCACACTTAATATTAGACTTAACATCTCAAATCATGGAAATGTAGTCAAACAGCTGTTTAACCAAGTTACAAAGGTTACACATTGAAAATAAACATATCGCAAGTTGCCACGATTGATTGGTTTAAATCTGGTTTTTGTTCAGGTAAATGGATTTCGTATGGGTGGTCCAAAATGTTTGCAAATGATTGTACAAGTAGCAAATTTGTACAAAGACAGTAGTGCTTCCTAGTTCAAAACTTCAAAACTGACATTTCTTCCAAATAGATAACTTGCTATATGTAGCTGAGAAGAAAAGATGATTCCTTCGTGGAATTTTCAGTTGAAAGCATAAATACATATGATTCAACATGACAATGCATCCTGCCAGCACGGCATCAGCGATTCTTCGCATTGCATGGGCTTCTTCAGACAGCTTCCACTCTCGCTGTGCTATCCAGCTGTCCCAGCCTTTCAGAGCGCATGCTTGCCATACTTGGCCCCGTGTGACATAAGCCAGCTCACCGGAAGTCCCACGTGCGTGGACCACTGGCACATGAATCAAAACGCAGGCCATGGCACTGTTTGTAACGGGCCATAAATACTGCTATAAACACTACAGTCAACAACCACCAAAATACACTGGTCTATGTGATATGTGCGGTTGGTTTTGGTTTTATCAAATAGTAAAGGACTCTTTCAATATCCAACTGCCAAACCTCTGAGCAAACAAAATATGCAATGTGTATTATTGGCACACTGTACTTGTACACTGATCACACACGCACAAGCACGACTGAAAATGTACACAAAACAAACTTGCTCAATACAAAAGGCTGCAGAGCTAATGACAGGACTGATTTAATATTTCACAGCAATGGACGTTTATTTTGTAAGAATTGATGCAACTTTCCTCGCCTACATCATTCAAAACCCACCAGGAGCTTCTGGAAGATTTTGAAGGATGGAAGGCGTATGCCAGCCACTGTTATTTCCCACTGGGCTCAGTGCACCTTCAAAATTCAAAAGTTTGTACATGTACCACTGTGGAGAGAGTTGAAGGATTCAGGAAGATTTCCTAGGAATACAAAGGGACTTTTTAGGTTTAGGGTATTCTCATAAATGAATTACACTCTCTAATCACAGGGAGGCCATTTTTTTCTTGTTCCCTGAACCTATGACATTCAGTGAAATCTGTTAAAT